GATCATAATCCAATTAAAATTTTATTAATTATAGCAAGTAGAATATGAGCAAATACAGCGCTGGACGGCAGGGGAGTCTGCGCTCCGCCAACTGCCGTGCTGAGCAGTTCAAACAGTCTCTTTTTATACATCTTTACTTCCATGTTCAATGAAGTAGTGGAGGCACTCTGCGCATGCCTCAGTTGTTGTTAGGGGGTCGTTTTCTGCCTCTTGGTGGTCGTTGAGGCCGAAGTAAGAAGTCTTCCTCCTTTGTCCCATAGTTGACCCCTCACTCATATGTCCTTATATGGGGTTGTCTGTCCTGTTTCTGTCGGTTCTTGGACATCTGGCGGTTATCTTGCACAAACGGTATCCGGTTTAGTTTGTGTAAGCAATTTCATATCTTTTGTTGCCTAACCTTTACATTGAGCTTAACATAAATCTTTAATAATTGAGCTTAACATAAATCTTTAATAATTGAGCTTAACATAAATCTTTAATAATTGAGCTTAACATAAATCTTTAATAATTGAGCTTAACATAAATCTTTAATAATTGAGCTTAACATAAATCTTTAATAATTGAGCTTAACATAAATCTTTAATAATTGAGCTTAACATAAATCTTTAATAATTGAGCTTAACATAAATCTTAATAAACAATACCCTAGTCCATAGTTTCTCACAATGGGGTAGGAGGGTGAGTGGCAGGGTTTGGCAGAGGTGGCGGTTTGAGAGGAGTTGCAGGAGTGACGGGGTTTGGCAGGTAGGTAACAGGATGATCCCTGACAGATCCGGATGTGGAGGGATGGCTGAGGATCCCTGGCTTCACCTGGCCCGAGGGAACGCACTGAACAGTGGTTTGCTTTCAGTTTTTCATTATGTCACATTCCTTTGTGTTTAGGAGGGAGTTAAAGACAGCATAGGGATAAAATATTTTATTTGAGAGATAAAAGAAAAATAGCTAACAATACAGTTAGTCTTAGACTTTTATTCTTCTTTTAAAGCACTGGAGATAAGATTATAGTTGCCCTGGTGTAGCCAATAAGTGTTTTATTGTTTCTTACAAAGTATAACAGTGAAAACATTCATAATTTAAATGATTCTTTACACTGCAGATCAGTAATGTACTCTGAGAATATCAACCAGCTTTTTGAAAAGAATGCAATTAATCTTAATAAGCTTTTCTCTCAAGCTAAATTTCAAATTCTGTGGCAAGAGGCAATTAAATGTAACTAGAAAATTTGGCATAGCTCAAATTTGTTTCATGTATCTGCTTTGGATTTGGAGTATTTTCTGCAAATTTGACCTAAGTAGTCAGTCTAGATCTGCAGGTCCTTACTCAAGCATGGGTGCATTAACCACATAGTATTTTCAGGAGGAAAAAAAAAAAAAATTTAAGTCTGTATTAAGTTTTTAGGTGCAACTGGATTTAGGTATGACAGTATATGGTGACAATTTGCCTCCTTCAAGATGAATTGCCAGGCAAGTTCATTTACCCAGTGGACAAAATGTAGGTGTCATGTGATAAATATGTATTTAGCATGTAACTGAAGCATGTGCCCTTGTATGACAAAGGACTGCTTGCCCCATTCACATGCCTCAATAGGCATCCATTGAGGTGTCATGTGATAAATATGTATTTAGCATGTAACTGAAGCATGTGCCCTTGTATGACAAAGGACTGCTTGCCCCATTCACATGACTCAATAGGCATCCATTGTAGACGAGGGAACAGTCACCTAGTAGGTGCACCCATAGGCCCCCCAAAGGCTCAGAAAGTCTATTTGACTCACCCTAGCCAAAGGTGCTGTTTTGCACTGAGGAGGTGCTGGTTCATTTGGGCTCTCAGTAAGAAGGGTGTGGGCTCTCAAGGCTAGTTGACTGGTTTATTGCATAAAGAACAATAGTAGTAGAAAACATGATAGCAATCTTATGTCCCTTCTGATGCTGAGGACCCCAGCTATGGCAGCATGAGACAAGCCCATTCACGTTGATCAGCATGCTGCACAAATCCTGTCTGTGGTGAGGTTCACACTCATGGTCTTCAGAGATTTGATAAGATTTTTTTAGAAGTAAGCAACCATTCTTCATTTCTGCAGTTAAGTAAAAGAATGGTACATGTAGATATGCTGTTTAAGCTCAAGGCAAATAACGTGGATAGCGTAATCTACTTGTACACATGCTGAGTCACAGCTACGTACAGGCTTCTCTGTTACGATCAGTCAGCCAAGTTCATCCATCAGTCACCGAGGTACTCTGAAAACATTTCAGTCTTGCGCATCTCCAGAGGAAGGAGTTAAAGGTGATCAGGGTGTGCACTCAGGCCATGTAATGGTCACTCATGCTAACATATGGGCCTCTGCAACCAAGGGCTGTGGTTAATCTCTGCCCAGATTCTGCTTGAAATTGCCATCTCCTTGTTATGGTGTCTTCTGAAGTGACCTGCTACAGGTGCCCTTATTACACACTGCTAACTGTAGAAGGTGTTTTTATGTACTTCCACGCTGGAAATCTTGCTGCTTTTCTTGCTTAAATCTGTGCTACACTTCAGATTATAGAGCCTTAATATTTTGACTTCTCTAGAGTTTTTAATCGGTATGAGTTCAAGTTACTGTGATTTGGTGGCATTCCAGTGCCAGACAAGGTTCCGTTGCAAAAAAGTTGTCCATAGGGACTCCAGAGTTGTGGCTATATGCTACATCTAATTTGGCTTAACGCTAGGCTGCTGCTGCCCTCTGCCCTCAGCCGCTCTTTGGCAGTATTATTTCTGTGACCTCACAGTTTTTGTCACAGGGATTTTCATTCAGATGAGATGCCAAACAGCTCACTGTGCAGCTATGAATTTCAGAGCTAGCATGAGGAAGGTGGAGTAAAAAGTGGGGGGGACTAGCTTTTTCAACCTCTGTTTGGACTTTATGTTTGATTAGAGTGGTGTATAATGACAGCTGGACTGCTAATGGAAATTAATTACAAGGGTTCTGCCTCACTAATAACTTTTCTTTTTTTGCAAAGCTAAACCAGTACCCATACTTTTTTTTGTTGTGCATGATTAATCTGTTAAAATGATGTTAAAGATATGTGGTACACTAGATGCTTACGTTCCCATGATTAACCTTAGATCTTAGACCTAGTAATGTACATGTACTGTAGTGCTTGAAACCGTAAACAGTTTCTACTTTTGATTGGTTAATACTCTTTTTTTACACTTCTTTATTAGTATTGCTGCAGCAATTTTCTATATTAATATACCAATATAATTATTATACCAGTAAGACTAATACTTGAAACTATTAATTACACAACTTTTTAGTAAATGTGTGTGATTTTAGTGTATTGTTTCTTGTCTTACGCCAATTGGGTGATGGCTTTTTTTTTTTTATGCCAGGTTGTACTTCAAGCTTCTTATTTATTGCTAACCCTTAAGCTTATTGTTTAACTAGCAGAACTTACAGCAGAAACTAAAACAAATCTATTAGTGTGTGGAGTAGTCCTTTTAATAAGGTCATTGTTTTTAAGATCACCAAGCCTCATATAAAGGGTATTTATTAAGGTGTTTCTGATACTTGATGGTATCTGCTGCTTATTGACCTTTGCCCCATGCCCCAAAAGAGAAATCAGCACTCCATAATAAGGTCATTGTTTTTAAGATCACCAAGCCTAATACAAAGTGAATTTATTAAGGTGTTTCTGCTACTTGATGGTATCTGCTGCTTGTTGACCTTTGCCCCGTGCCCCAAAAGAGAAATCAGCACTCCGAAGGTCACATGCATGAGAGCATCATATTGGAACTATTTAGAAACATTCATTTTTCTTTTTTTTTTTTTTCCTCATTGTATCTTATATTAGCTTCTGTTTCCTGAAGTTACTGTTCCCAAGATGAGAAATGACCAATTTACACGTGCAGTCTTAGCTGATGCAGTTTTAAGGCCAGTATATTGAGGTACACCAAATTTGTAGTTGGTTTACATAATTATGCCTGGTTGAAAACTGACAGTGTAGGAGTTGCAGGGCCTGCCAAATAGGGTGGATGCCTGGCAGCAGCAACACTTGCTGGAGAGGTGGAGAAGGCAACCGGGGCAGATAACAGCTTTAGCTGTCATACTTGTAGGAGGCTGCTGTTATAAATCTCGCAGAGCCCTGGCAGGTGTTTTAAGCTGACTTGTTAATGCCCAGGAATAAGCTCAGAACCAAGAGAGTTTCTGCCATCAAAAATGAGACTTAGAGCAACACAAATGAAACATCAAATTTAAAGGTGTTTTCATTAGGATTGTCACTACATGATAAAGAAATGTGCTGCACATGTAAGCCATCACAAGGGTATGTAGGTAGGTATTGCTTAGATTTGATCGTTCCATGCGTCGCGGATAGGTAGCTCCTATGTAACAGGTATCATTAACAGGTGGCCAGCCTATTGCAGACTAATGTGTCACCTGACCTGTCAGTGTTTTGGAAAACTAAGGTCTTCCAAAGGCATCAGAACATTTGCAGATGGGTACGTCTGCATGAACAAAAATTGAGGACAGAAGTAGAGCATCAGTTTCAAAACAGAGCTTCCTTTTATGGTCTTACTAGGAATATAAATTATCCGAATGCAAAGAATGCAGGAAGATGTATCTATTTTATTAAATGCCATTAAACCTATTTTAGCATCTGTTCTTCTGGATCATTTCTTCTATATGTCCCACTTCTAACATCTGTTCTGCTCTTCTATTTTCATGTGACATAACTTAGTATAAGCTGCACCTTGATGTAAGTTAGACTATTTGTAGGATAATCAGTCATAAAGATCTAATTTCTGGTTTATGTATTGGAGATATACACATTTGTCATGTCCTAAAACCTTAACCCTGTCATAAAGCTTGAGGTTAAAGTTTGTACGCATTTTCTGTTCTGCACCTCTCGACACATTTGGAACAAATGAGTATGCCATTTGACACTTTGTAGGCAACTCTGAACTATAAGCAGCTGGTATAACAAGTCTGATAATGTGGAGCAGGGAAAAGCAATCAGGGGTTTTGCAAGAAGGAATGGTCTTTTATCAGGTCATTACAGGAATAAAGCACTGCTCAGTTTTCCTTGTCCATGAAAAACAGGATTCATGGTTTCTTTCATTAAGTTAGACTGGGACAAAATCTGGCTGCCAGGTGAATGCATTATACTCTTTACTTACCAATCCTAGTGATTGCTGTGTGTATCCAGATCACATAAAGTATAGAGGTCAGCTACAGTGGAGAGAGCTACTGTGCTGCTCTGAATTACAGTAGATGCTCTGAGTTTACTAGTAGGGTGAGTTAATGGAAAAACGTTGATTCTACAAAGGCAACATGTTTTGTAGGACAGTAATGTCTTCTTTCAAAATTTTTCATGGGATTTAAAAAGAGAAGTTGGCCTAGGGAATCTAATTGAGGTAGCTCTGATCAATAGATAATGGAACCTCCAATTCGAAGAACTCTGTTACTTATATGTACTCAGGTTAGGTTTCTGAACAAGAGGGGGACAGTGAGGAGTTACTCTTCCTCCCCCACTTCAAATCCATTTTAGTTTTGCTGTGGTGTAATCCTTTTTAAAATCTTGGGATTTCCCAGATGACAGAGTGTTACCTTTTCAGTTATCTCCGAATGTTGGTTAGCTTCACTGTAGTTTATGTTCCTCATTTACCTAGGGACTTTCATTTTTTTATAATAAAATCTCCCTTCAGAGAGTTGCAATTCCTTCCTTACGGACCAGCTGTTGCCTTTTAGCATATTAGTGAGTGGTGATTGCTCTGAAGGTCAGTATGCTCAGGATCATAGAATTGTAGAATTGTTTAGGTTGGAAAAGACCTTTAAGATCATCAAGTCCAACTGTTAACCTAACACTGCCATCCCACCACTAAACCATGTCCCTAAGCACCTCGTCTACCTGTCTTCTAAATACGCCTAGGGATGGGGACTTGACCACTTCCCTGGGTAGCCCATTCCAGTGCTTGACAACCCTTTCTGTGAAGAAATTTTTCCTAATGTCGAATTGAAACCTCCCCTGGCACAACTTGAGGCCATTTCCTCTTGTCCTATCACCCATTATGAGGGTACAGTTTTTGCCTACAGTTGATTGGGGAACACTTGTGCAGAAGGATCAGCTGATTGACTGAAAGGGCAACAACTGAATTGGTGGTAGCATAGAACACCGGGAACTGATAAGGTTTGAAGGCAGCATAGCTGGATGCAGAAAATGACTCCTTATGGCTTAATTGTTCTAGTTCTAATATGTAATGCCTATTTTTGACTGTACTGTAACTTTCCTTTATTTCAGATGCCTTCAGTGTTTGACAAAGAACCTTTCCAGATATGCAGCAGATATTAAGTCAATGCCACCCAACATAAAGGATAAACTGATTAAATTAATGAGTAGGCAAGGGCAAATAACTGATTCAAATATCAGTGAGGTAAGAACCCATTCAAAATTATTCTGTATGTCAATGTTAATACACAAGGATGAACTAAAGTAAAACTGTTTACATGAGACAACAGATAAATTCAGGTCTGCTTACTCTGTACATGGTTTTATAGGTGTTTTTCTTAAACTTCATAATGTTAATAGTCCTGTATAACTAGTAATAAGGTTATGTTTGCAGTGACAAGTAAATTAAAAATATTCTCCCTTCAGTGATAATTGACTTCTGTGTAATCAGCTGGCACACATTATCCTTTTTCAATATGGGAAACTAGACTATATTGCAAACCAGTCTCTGTTCCTGAATGTAGTATGTTTCAAGAAGCTAGTGAATAATTTAGTAATGAACAGGTTTCAGGAACTTGTTAGGTTTCTGTTATGTTCTATTGACATTATGTGCATGATCTCGATATAATTTATTTAAATCTTAATTCTTTGAAATACGATGATGCTAGGGCTAGAAATTGATAGTTCCAAGTTCTCTCATCCCTTTTGCTCACTGATGTGTGTCAGCGTTACAAAATGAAACTAGTTAATGACTTTTCTTTAGCTGTAAATTCAGGGGCACATCTGTTTTGTTATCTATCTACTGTTATCTTGTTTAGCCTCAAAGGCAGGTGTGAGAATTGAGGAAAGCTAAAGGTTGGCCTTGGTGAAACAGAAAATGAATGACTCCCTTTTCATTTCTGCTTTGACCTGTAAATCGTAAGAGGCAAATAGTATCAGTTTCTCGGGGTCAGAATAATGAAGCCAAGACTAGAGGCAGAATCAGAAATACCATGGAAAACTTACGAACAAAAAGTTTTATCTTTAGCATGCACCATTTTTTGATTATACAAAGTAAGTCTGAGTAAAAATCAGTGTCTTATTCATTTATCTTATTTTGGAAAATTTGAGTAGACAGAATTTGGTTGAAGGTATCTTTTCAGTAAGTAATCCTTTCTAAGCATCCTAAGAGATGTATATAATTAAAACCATATGACTGTGTGTGTATAAATGCACAAAACATACTAAGATGTCTTTAGTCTGGAAATAAACTAGAGAGTTTAAGTTACAGTCTTTCCTCTGACACTTTGTAAAATCTCATCTGTCTTTGTCTTCATTCAGCAGTTGATCAGTGCCTTCTCTTGGAGCCTGTTTTCCATCTGACACTGGGATACTCTGTTCTGGTTCTTTTTCTCACTTGTTTTTCCTTTCTCTGATCCTGCAATTTCCTGCAATTCTATTCTTAGCTGTCATCACTTTTCCTGGGCATATTATACCCTAGCTTTCTTTGCTAAGAGTGTCCAGGTTTCTCTCACTTGTGTTTTTAAAAAAATGCTAGCCACCTCTTGGATTTTGAAGTCGTACTGTTTCTCCATACCATTTTGCTTGTCAGTTTTTCTGTTCTTTCATCTTGCAGATATTCTTGTTCCTTGGCATAGCAAAAATGGCTTATGTTGTTTAGCTCTTCTTCCTATTCCGTATAACCAAAGTATTCTATGTGTGGCACATTTGCAATGTCTCATTTAGTCTTCCATATGGATAAGGGATTTTTTTCCTTTGCTGTTGCTTCCGTACTGCCCTTTTCTTTCATAGTCTCCACAGTATTGCAGCTAGATCTGTTCTCTTGGATGTTTCTAGACTATGCTATCTCATTTGCTTTTATGCATGTCCTTTCTTTGGTGGTGTTTAAGCATTTTGCTTAAAGTTAAATTTCTTCCGGTTGAAATTCTGTTAACCTGCACTTATGTATAAACTTCTATTTCATCTGTTACCTACCTGTTCTTGCCCAGATTTGTGTTGTCTTGCATTTTTTTTTCCTTACTCTGCTTTTCTCTTGGAGCAGCCTTCCATGATGCGCATGCTAAACTCCTTATTCCAACTCACTTTTACCATAAAGATCTATGAAGCCATTCGGCATGTGTTCACAGTATATAAATCTATATTTAACCTCCTGTACTTTGCATCCTAACAGTCATTACTCTATCTAAAACTCTTATCTTGAGATAGGTTAGATTTTAGTATATGCATTCAGTGAATATGATTCTGTGAATAACAATAGAAAGCAAACCTCTTAGTAATACCTGACCTTGTGAAGAATCATGGGCTAGGGAAGCTTAATACTCTAGCTACTTTAAATAGGCAGTATTCTGATAGTATTGTTGCTTCTCATTTAGACTTCCTTGCATCTAACCATTCTTTTTCTCATAAGATTACTCATGTGGCTTCAAAACCAGCAGTTTGCTCACTTTTGTTGTGTCCTAGGCAGTTTGGAATTGAGAAGGAAAGCCAACAGTCAAGGAAAGCATCTTGAATAAATGTTGGTGATCACTTTGGCTTTAAGCACATCCTCTCTGGGTTTGGCTGTTTTAATGAATTCAGAAATATGAGTGAAATAAGAGCTGAATGTTATCTTGTGAAAACTACTCACAACTATGTTGTGGGATATGTTGGTTTTGTGGCATAAAGAGACATATTTGAGGCTTTTGGCATTTGGGGAGAAGAAGCTGTCAAAGCTGTCTGAGGTCTGCCGTTCATTTTTCAGAAAGGTTGCAATTATAATCTACTAGAAGCTTTGGGGTTTTTCCAGAAAGCTTATTTGACTGATTCAGTAAGGTTTTTAGCCTATTTTCTATTTGCAGACCAGAAAAACAACGTTCCTTGTAATATCTTTATTGTACCTGTTAGAATGGTGAACCTGAGGAAGAAATAGGCCTTTAACAAGCCCATCAGCTATGCTGTTGTCTTTGCTTGTGTATGGAAATGTACTGTGTGCTTTTAGCCTTGTGAGTTAACAAAGGGAAGGACAAGCCAAATGGGAGTATAAGGTAAATGTGAAAACCTGATCTAACACTTGCCTATTGGTCTGAAGGACAGCTCAGGAAAGATATAGATTGCTTGCACAAGAGGGGGCTATGAACAGTATTTATTAAAAAGTAGTGAGAATCCTTGAAAATTGTATTAGAGGCAATATATATAGCTATTGTTACTAAAATCTGAGGCCTTCCATTGTTTTGGGTCTAAGTTTCATAAATGTCCTCTTGGGGGAGATTTCATAAGAACTCCAGCCTGTGGTCTTGTGGGAGTGAAAGAGCCTATTTAACGAGAATTTGGTACCTCCTCATGGTATGATAATGAGATTGCTTGTTTATGAGAAAAAGTGTGTGTGCAGGTGACAAAAATACTCTGGGGCAAAAGATCTTTAAAATATTGCCTTTATCTGTTCAGCGGATTTAAGTTTTGATTACAGTCAGTATTTTTTTATGCTTTGGATTTCTGCCATCAAAGTTGTGCTAGTAAGTTTGATGGTATTATCCTTGGTAAACATCTGTGCTGGCAGAAACACTAGTATTAGCAACTGTACCATCAAAACAGTACTTCCACTGTTTAAATAGTAGTGTTAATGTGCTCCTACTCTAGATGTGATCATGGAAACTGAACGCTCGTGCTGTAGGAGATGAACTTTTGCAGCAAATATACCATATTTTGTTCAGAGCTTTTAGTTCCTAGGACTGGTAACCCTGTCCTCTAGTGAATATTTTTTAGAAGTTCTGTGTGATCTCTAACATTACAAGTATTTTAGATAAAAATATGCATGTTCTATGATATAGCAGAGTTTGACTGAAATGGTAGGTTTTCATTACAGGTATTGCACCCCGCCGTAGAGTCTCTAGACCTCCGAGACTGTGATATTTCAGATAATGCATTATTGCAGCTTTATAACTGCAAGCAACTGAAAAAAATCAACTTAAATTCTTGCAAAGAAAACAGATTGGGAATCACTTCAGAAGGTATGTTATCTATGCACAGATAACTGGGATCTTATTTCTGTTTTATTTCTCTTGTTAGATTGGAGTAAATTGCAAAAAATATCTAGGGTAAACATTGCTTTAAAAAATCCCCAATGCCACACCAATACTAATTAAAAGTCACTTCAGCGGTGTAAATTATAGGCCTGGAGCACTGATTACCTTATGGGAAAGAGCTATCAGGTTACTATCATGCTAGATTTCTGGTAAAACTATGCTACATTTGATTGTATTTTCCACTTCATCTTAATTATTCCTTCCTCAAAACTTGTTCCAGAGCCTTACCAGTACCACTGGGGTTGAAGTTTTAGGCTTGTGATTTTTAAATTCCTTTCTTCCCTTTTTTAATTAAATGTATTTATTATTAAATAAGCTTATAGCATCTTCTCTGACTTAAGATTTGACTTGCTTTAGGACTTTAGGATTTCAAGTGTTACATTTAACCTCCAGTTTCAAGTTGTATCAGGAGCTTAAAAGAATTAAGCTTGCTGAATTTTATTTCCCACAAGTTTTGTTTTGTCTTTTGACTACAGTTACTCCTTTGCTCCATTGTTAACTCATCCTTATCAAAAATTAAGGCAAAATATTAATTTAGTATTGAGCTAATGTGTACCATACATTAGATCAGTCTTGGTTTGTATTGTCTTACCGCTGCATAGCAATACACTTATCTTCTTACTTAAGTAATTGGTTAAACTTTTAAAAATTGATTTTACTTATTTTCAGTGTCACCTCATTGTTACACTTCTTGACCCCTAAGATATAGTTTGTGATGGTCCATGCCTTCATCTGTCCGCTGATTATTAGTATGGTTCTTAAGGTACCTGCTAAGCCTAGAGCTCTTTATGTATACTTTTCATCTATTTGGATAGAGATTCCTGATTACTTTGCAATTAAAACTGGGAAGTCTAGTTCTTTATTGACAAGTTCCTAGTCCATCCAACTTTACTAACTTTCCTACTTATAAACTGAGCCCTTTTCAAGCTGAGAACCAGTTATGAAGTCTTTAATTTAAGCTGGAACAGTTCTTTATCACTCATCTCAATTACATACAGGAAAAAAAAAGACCCTAACCCACCCCATTTTAAAGCAGTGTTACCTTTTATTAATTCAGTCACAGGTGGGGATTTTTTGGTTGGTTTGGGTGGGTTTTTGTGGTGTGGTATGTTTTGGTTTGTTTTTTAAGAAACCTCCTGGCTACCACATCCAGAAATATCTCATCCCTGTCATTACTAGGAAACATTTGCTCTCTGGGTTGCACATGGAACATTTAGTGTCGTTTGATACAATATCCAGTAGTACTTACTTCTCTGTCAAATTCAACTACCGCTACTGTCTCTTCTGTCGTTCTTTGCGAAGTGGTTCTGACCCAAGCAAGTACTGTTTTATCCATGTTCCTTTGAAGTTCTTGCATAGTAACATATCTTAATGACATTCAACTTTTAATTTCTCTCTATCCAGAAGTGATGTAATTTTCTGTACCTCTGTAATAATCATGTTTCCATCATCCTTGAAATAAATTCCTTTCATGAATTGCATTCATGTGTAGTTTGAACATATGTAGTCTTATTTCATTGACTACCTCCTGACACTTCTGTGCAAATATTTTGGTTGTTACTAACTGTCAGGGCTCTAATGGCCACCACTGGTCTTGCCTGCCATGCCCACCTACACTAGCTGCCCATGGACCTTCAGTCCTGGCCTGAGCTGTGTCATAATGTACCTGGTTCCTGTCCTGCTTCTGAACTATCATTTTGATTTCTTGAATTGACCTCAGACATGCCCTCTTACCTTGCTTTTTGCCTGATACTCACTGCACTGTCAGTGGGACCTAGAACTATCATCAGTCTGCTTTCAAGCCATTGGCTTTTTTTCATGCGCTCACTGAGGTGGTACCTCGTGTACGTAATATCCCTCAGGTATTCTGCAGTATGAAAAGGAATTCAGCATTTAGAAATTGTTATCAACTCTAGCACCGTTCATTGTAATTTACTTTTTCTCATCCTTGAATTAAAAGAAACCAACCACAAAATTATTTCCTTGTACGGAGTCTCGCTGGCATGGCATGAGGAGAAAGTTGAACAGTCAGTGGCCACGGGGGACAGCACACTGGATTCAGCATAGTGGTCATGTTAAAAAATGAATAATTCTTTAAATTGCTCTGTTTTTTTGACAGGTGTAATAGCGTTGGCCTTATCCTGTCCTTACTTGCGTGAAGCGTCTTTTAAAAGGTGCTGCAATATAACTGACAGTGGAGTTCTTGCTCTTGCGCTCAACTGCCAGTTCCTACAAATAGTGAACTTGGGCAGCTGCTCAGGCATCATGGATGCATCTCTGCAGGCCCTAGGAGGAAACTGCAAATTTCTTCACAGCGTGGACTTTTCATCTACTATGGTAACTATGGTGGCAATTGACTAATTGGCTTTTGTTTGTTTATTTTGTAAGATTGTCATGATAAAAATTGAAAGGGAATCTTTTTAGCTCTACTTACTCTTGACAAGATTTAGGACCACAGTTCACTTCCAGTTTCCTCCTCTTAAGGAAAAGGAAAGATATCTTTTGCATCTTGGTAACCAGAAAAATATACATTTTGGTATTACAGCATGTATTCGTGGACCAAAGATAGTATTTTATTAGAATTTATCTAATATTGGAGATTTTTTCAGTATCTTCATTTAGTGCAGTCATTTTCTTCCAAGTTATAAAATAATCCAAAATATTTAATTTAAGGAAAGTAGCATATTGGACAGATTATTGTCTGCTTTCAGTTAAGACAAATTGACTTGAGTAATAATAATATAGGATGTCAAACAATATAAGACCCTAGTAGAAGTAAACACTCCATAACTAGTTCTAGTTCGAGTGACTGTGCTTTCTGAATGGCTTGTCAGAGTTATGTTATGGAGTCAACATGGAAAGAATGACAATTAAAATGTCAGAAAGGGCAGGTAAGAAGATTGGACAACAGTTAGTATTTAGCATGAGAAGGGGGAAATCAGCTCCAACAGCAATACTGTAACATAATTCATAATTACAATAAGATAATGAAGTGAGAGAAAGGATTTTTTTTTTTTTTTTTTTTTTTTTTGCAGTAAGTGTAGTGTTCAGTTGACTGTGATGGTGAGTGATTATGTTGAATGTGAGTCAAGTGCAGAGCATTTGTAATGTGTCAGATCTGGAAAACGGGTAGCAGGCTCTTATTTTAGACGCTATTCTTCTTCTTTCAGTTTTTCCAGAAGGAGGGCATCAAAAGTAATTTAATATTTTCTCTGGTAATTTTCATTATTATCATTTAACTCTTTATTTCTTCAAACTTATTTCATTACTTTTTTGTTCCCTTGCCCCTCTCTTCCTTTGTGCAAAAAGTTTCCCTGTATATGTTTTAAATGCGATGAGATCTTCTTGAGTAACTAAACGTTTCCACACTTTTTCTGGTAATCATGTGATAATACACTAGAATTCTGAATTGCATTTGACTAAAAATGAATTGAAAGTACACTAGATATAAATGAAATAAGTTTCAGTTGGAGCAGAGAAAGTACCTATGGCTCGCGCCCATAGAGATTGCAAGGCCTAACCGTAATCTGTGAAACAGAGAATTTGCTGCAAAGACAGTCTCTGTGCGCATTTCGGACACGATTGTGGTGGAGCGATCCCCCGTGTCCCCAGCGCTGCCAATAAAGAATGCCTGCCTTTTAACACTGCATTGGTGTTACGAGGTTATTTCCCGGCTTCGGTGACATAACCATACTCTGTGTTTGATTGCCAGAATGCATAGTAAAAATATCAAGTAGAACTGGCAAAGCTGTGTGTAAAACAGTGAGAACATTGGACATAAATGAACAGGCAAAGAAGGGCGCAGCTCACTTGCAGGAACAAGGAAGCAGATGTGAGCTGGATTACAAAGGGACCAATTGCCTCAAGGTGATGTAGCCATTTTTAAAATAGGCTATCTGGTGACTGCAAAAGTGAAGTACAATAAGTAGAAGCTATAGAAGTGGTGCAAAATAGCAAGAAGTGGGGCAAGTGAGGCAAGGGAAGGATTGAACTATGAAGATGTAGCTCAGTGTCCCCTATATGCATACAGAGAGTGTGAGTGAAGCTTGGCCTGAAGAACTCTGCCTCACTGGCCCAGGACTGCATAAGAAATCTATTTGTGTTTACTTATCAGTATGTTTATGTAACCATTCTGAGGAGGTAGGTTTTATACATAAACCCTGTACTCACTGCTTTACTTCTAGTGTGCTCTGAATCCCAGCAGCGTTCACAGGTAGAAACACAGGCTCAAGAGTCCAAATCTCTGCACTACTTAAACAGTACATTTCCTCTTTAACATTCATTGACTTGGTGTATGGCAAATAATTGTGGGAAGAATCTTGCCTGAAAGGGCTGTGCGAACTGAAACAGTTTTCTATGTAGGGTGTGGGACAGTTTAGTTATCTGCAAAATGAGTTGGCAAAAGCAGGAGTGTTGCACATTAGCAGTCTTATCTGTCCAGACACCTTTCACGTAGAACAGAGCTGGGTTGCTAATGTAGTTAACTGCCGGTACTGGGCTATGTAAGCCTCTGCTAGAGATGCACGCAGCGTTTGGTGACAACTGGTCTGTGCCAAGAAGCTGATGTATCTGTGGTTTGTACTAGCTGCAGGTGGTTTATCCCCCATATAGGAGTGTATCTCTTGAAGAGGATGGGCAGCTGTGGCATTACAGACCATGCACATAGCTACTTGATAGAGTAGGAAATGATAGCATAGCAGTGGTTACTGTGAGCTCATAGAGGGAAGTGAGGGGATTTTGTTTTAACACAAAACTGATTTAATGCTCTTACGCTGTTGTAACCATATACTCACAAGACAGTAGCATTCAGATGGTCTCTCCAGCATTCAGGCACCAACCAGTCAGTCTGGTTGAGGTTTGTTTTGATGCCACGGAGGATAAAGGACACAGGCTGTCAAATCTTCATCGCTTTAATGGGGTTGTTCTTAGGTTGGTGACCATGCACTGGTTTTGGATGTGCCATTTTAATATCCTTCAGAAACTGGCAGTCGTTACTCTCTCCATTATATCCCACCTATGGGAGTTAATAGAATTAATTGATTTACTGCCCTTTGTCTCCTTGTCTGTGTGTCTTCAGGAGCTAAACGTGCTGTCATCTTGATGACCTGCTAAGCTAGGTACCGATGATACCTGCCATTCTTATAGGCCTTTAGGTGCCTCCATGCTGGGATGTTCCTGTCCATTCTCCATTTGCACCGATCTGACCCTCTCTATTACAGTTTGGTACAGTGACTTGCAATAGAGGGCCAGAAGGAAATAAGACATTTGTGCAACAGGAATCACCAAATCGTTAAACAGAAATGGAGCTTGTGGTCTCTGGATTGTAGCTGGCAGATTTGGCTGAGCCTTACTGTGTGTATTTGATGACTACTATTCCTGCCATCTAATATAAGCTCTATGAAAAAAAACTGTGTGAATGATCTGATATCCAATCCAGTTTTTGAAGTGGGGAGGAAGTTTAATGAATTTGGTTCCCAGAAGCAAATTAATAAATTGGCTTTTCTTGCCTTTCTAAGGAAAGGAACATCTTTTGTCTTTCTCTGTCTTGTAGGTAACCATTGCTTCTTGTCTGTCTGTAACCAATCACTTTGATAAACCTTTTTAGTGCAAGTGTATGACAACTGCTGTAAGACTGCTTGTTTGAGGGGTTTATGTCTTATGTAACAGGTTTGCTTCAAGATAAGTAAAAAGTAAGACAGCAGATAAGACTGCTATGATTACCAAGAAAATTCCTTCAGGGACATCACCAGCAGTCCTGAAAACAGGAGAAAAATAAGTCTAGGTAGAGCAGAAGTGCTTTAAACCTTATAAATTAAAAGTGCCATGTTCTGACCATAACAGAGTACCCACTGTTAAATGAGATAAGGAAGCTGCAGAAATAGCAGTTACACAGTTGGAAATGTCCCAGTAGAAAGCCAGGCTGGATCACATGGCAGTAAAATGCAGCAGCGCTTAATAGTCTGAAAAAAACATACTTGGATAATTTTCTCTACAAGCTTAATTGTGAAGAAAATATTGTAATGTCAAGTGTGTTCAATGACTACAGGGAGTGAAGAAATGAATGTAATTCCCCCCACACCCCCTCCAAATAGCTGTGTTTGAAAGAATTTAGCTTTAACCCATTGTGTTAATAACAATGTGGGGGTTTTTTCTCTTTAGGTAACAGATGATGGCGTTACAGCACTAGTAAGTGGACCGTGTTCAAGAAATTTAAAGGTAACTTACTTAACCTAATAATAAAGAAATGAACAAATAAATACCTGCATTTAAAAAATTGTTATTATCAGTATTACTTCTGATGGATGACTTTTATTGACTGACTTTTGCATTTGTGTACACACTTGCCCTGATTTTGGTTATGAATTGAATATTTTCTGGCTCTCTATAGCAGTGCACCAGACCAGCTTTTTGAAAACCTCAGTCTTTTGACAATGAGTTTTCTTCTGTTGAATGTGGGATGCTTAATTAACTCACGTTGTTTTAGAGAGCTGTCTAATAAATGCAAATGAATGCTTAACTTTTTCCCTCCATTTCTTTGGAGTTATTTCTTGATTCTGTTGAACACTGAGGCAGAATTTGTGATGTGGATAATTTCATGGATTTAAGAAATCAGTTAGCACCTCTGCATAGGTAAATCTCTAACTCATGAAAGCAACTGTGAAAATGAAGTTGTGTTTGCATAAAGGTTCTCTAGGCACTGAGACAGTGATAAAAAGATGGAGAAGAGGCATCACATACCTCTTACTGTAAATGATCTTCTACTTTTCTATATAGTTTGTTTCCTACCTATGTGTGTGTTGTTGCTTTCATAAAGGCTGGTTCTAAATCCAAGATACTCATTGAGAAACTAAGATGGGAAACAAGTCATAGTTCTGCTAGTTTATAGTGTTTGATAAAAAAAACCAACCCTAAACAAAATACCAAATCTGGGTCAGCTGATAGTATTAATAACCTGGAAAAAAGTAGAACTGTTATTGTTTTATTTGGAGAGGAAACAGCTACGTTTGGTTTTCAGGTTTTTTCCCAGCTCATTTTGTCTATTTTGGACAATCTTCTTAGTCTAAGTCTTGTGGTACAAGATGAAATTATTATTTTTCAGACCATAGCAATGGGAGATCTTTTTTTTGTATCCTAGAATTGATTTGAAAATATCTTTGGCTTTTAGCTGGTTACACCTTCAGCTGTAGCAAAACATTGATTCCCGATTTTCTAAACCACCCTGAGACTATGCAGATAGTCTTCATAAGACACCTCTCATATCCAGCTTACGAATGTAAAGCAGTGTGTATCACTGTGATTTGGATTGGGTTATTTGGACTAGGTCACTCTCAAAAGTCTGTAGTACATATGTCTTAAAATGCTAATATTGTAATAAGTTTTCATAAGTTTATTGTAATAAAGTTTGCTATTGAGTCAAGTGGGGTTCTGTAAATTTCCTAGCGGGTTCCGAACTATTTTCCAGCAGTGTTGGTATAATTACTCTGTCAGTATTATCTTCCCTCTTCTGGTTTATTACTGTCCATAGTTCGCAGAGAACTATATTCTTGTAAGCCCTTTTTCTTCGAACCATAGAAATGCATTTGCATTTATTTTTAATAAAAATTTCCAGATTACAAAATGTGGCCTTTGGTGTTTTCCTGGTCACAATGCTGTAGTTACTACTTCTTTGCAAGTGTTAAGGCTTGCTTTTGTGTGTGCTATGCATGGATGCCCGTGGAAGCTGTACTAGATCAGGAAGAACAAGTTAGGTAGCTTAGGTAAGACCTGCTTCATCTAGAAGTGTTTGAGAAAGTAATGTTGAGGGGGTGAGCTTTGATTTCAGAAGAACTAATGGGAAATTTCAGTCATGCCAGACGGAATAGTAGTATGGATTTTGCTTGTTTGTTTTCCTGTGCTCAATACCTGTTTCCACTTTCTTAAAAGCCATCTATTTAAGTGCTTTTGCATTTATTTTTTTTTGGGTAGGGTTGGGGGGTTTTTTTGGGGGGGGGGGCATCAGTCTATGCAGTTTTAATAAGGCAAAATTTAATGTTTTTCTGTGGAATGACAATTTTAAAAACAAAAGTTTTGTTCTATCAGTATAAAAAGCTAGAACAGTTTAGGTTTTTTGGTTTGAAAAAAACTTACTAGAGAATATGGAATTATTTGCTACAATCTTTTATTCAGTGTAACTCTTCCTTCTCTGTGTCACAGTCCTCATACCTCTTTCATGTCATCAAAGTGTAAATTTATAGACTGATCTAATATCAGGTACACAGTGAAAAAAGTAGGGTCTTAAGATTCTCAAACTGTAACTAGCAGGCAGATTTATAAGTCTTTTTACTTCATTCAGAGGCATTCAGATTCTACATTTCACTCATTTGTTAAAAAAAACTAAAGCCTATACATATATCAGCTTTTTTATATCTTGCTTCTGTGAATACAGTTCTTGTTTTCTGTGTCATCACTCTGTACAAAGCTGCATGTATTACAAAAGGTCCCTTTCATTTCTGTGTTGTTCTTTAAAGATCCTTGCAGTTTATAATTTGGAAAGCCACCCTTTCACAATAAAACAATGGGGGTTTTTATTTTTGCGCTAGGATCCCCAAAGGATATTTTCCCAAATCCTATTTTCATTAGATTTGGTAGTCTCTTTTCTGCATTTCTTCATGTATGATATATTTATTGATATGTAAGGCAGTTTAGAGGGGGGGAAAAAAGTTGGTAATAATATGTTGATGTATTCTAAAATTATTCTTTCTCTACCACATACAATGGACATAACTGCACAAAAATGAAGAAGAGAGCAGGTTTTAGTCTAGTCTTGGAAGAAGTTCTTAAACTTCTTGTAGGCACATAGATAAGATACTAGGAGACTCAGCAGAGATTAATGAATCCTGCCTGTTACAAAACCAGAGAATTCAGTTTGGGTTCTGTTCTCCTGGACAACACATTGCTAAGAGAATGTGTCATAGGAAAACTGATGGGACTCAAACACCATAGAATCTCATTTAAGAGTTTTCTCAGTTGTCTTGAATGATATGTGTGTTTTGGGAAAACTCAGGTTTATGTTTTTAGTTTTAACTCTTCATAGACAAGCTTTCTTATTTTTCCTGAGAGTATTTTCCTGGTCTGTACAGGACCACATATGGGGTCAATGCACAGAGGAGTAGTAGGTCTTAATTTCTTCTGGGTGAGGGTCTCTGAAAATTGCTGGGCAAAGCAAAGCGCTGCCTCCAAAACTGCAGGTGCTCTGACAGGATTTTGTTACTACTATTTTTGTAACAGGAGATCCACATGGAACGCTGTGTGAACCTGACCGATGTTGCTGTGGAAGCGGTCCTTACTTGTTGTCCAAAGATACACATTTTTCTGTTCCATGGATGCCCACTGGTGACAGGTAGGTCAAACTGTGCAGGGAGTAAGAAGAGCAATTACTTCTTGATAATATCTTCCTGCTCTCCAGAAAAGCACACTATACTTTGTAAATAATCCCAAACAAATAATAACTTAATAGATAAAATAATAATCATACACTGAGATTTTCAAAGCAAGGAGACAGTTTTGCTTGGAAACATCGCAACCTTCAGAGAGGGATTTTTTGTTGTTTTGGAGTTTGGATTTTTTTCTTTCCTTCCCCCCACCCCAGCATGCTGATAAAGAGCCAAAGTTGATAAGATTTCAGAAAAATACGTTAGCATATTAAAACCCTACTCTATTCCAAAGTATGGAACAGCATCCATTGAAGAAACAGTGGAATGGAGTAGGACTGGTGAGCCTGAAAAAACCCCAAACTTAAAGGTTGTGATCTATCTTGCGATTTTTAAGTTCAGTTGGTTGGTGATGCTTTACAGTTATGTGATTGGAGAGAGAACGGAGTGGTTTTGAATTACCACAGGTACAGCTGCAGTGTGATGATGTAATAGAAAGATGAGAATAAATGCAGATATACAAATGAATTCTTTTACTGTTTACCAAATTTCTAAACACCACCTGTATGTATTCTGAATGAGTAACAAGAAATTCCTTGGGTTTTTTTTGCAGATCGTTCCCGAGATGTTTTAGAGCAGCTAGTCATATCAAACAAAATCAAGCAAGTAACGTGGACTGTTTACTGATTATTTATTGTGTACATGAGAGTGGAAAGTTTACAGAACGGAGAGCTCTTTCAGAAAACGAGCACCTTGGAGAAGCAGCTGGTGACTTTTGTACCACCAGATTGCTTCCCTCCTTGTTCCCACCAGAGGTCTCCATCGCCATTCCAGTCCTTGCCTGTGAGTCTGGGCTTCCCCATTGTCTCTACTTCAAGCCCTGTCTGTCTTTGCATCGCTGATCATGCTTCATTAAGAGGAAAGTTAAACTATAATTAATACTACACCGACACCGCTCGGCCTCCTTGAAGTATCAGATTTGGCTACTACTTACCATCTTTTAGCATTTTAGCTACATACACAAGCCCAATTTAAGTAAGTCTCTGTTCTGATGTTGAAGTCTGAGAGAAAAGTTGCAACTCAAAGTACCAAGCCCAAACATAGTATTAGCACTTAGGCAGAAGTGTCTGTAAAGTTGGGACTTCAATCTGACAAAAGTCAACAGACAGAACTGGTGAATGGAGGTGGCGTTAACAGCAATGCAAATGTACTTTTAGTAGTAACAATGAGTCGCCTTTCACCATGTACTTTTGCTGGATCTGGAGGAACACTGTAGGTACCTTTCTTTTGGTGTTGCTGATGCTGCAGGTTTCTGGGTTTATTTACCACCAAATACTTGCTTGATTTTTATACGTCCAAAAGTACAGCCTGTGAACATGTAAACATGTAAACTTGCTTTGAAATTCTTGTGGTGACTTAGCAGATTTCAGAGTAGTAGCTATGACCAATAAAATAATCTTGTATATGGGCAAATATTTATTTGCTCCGGCTTTTGCCCATGTTCCTGCATGAAAATCCTTTTAGGGAACAAAACATTGGTTCTCATAAGCATAGCTGTGAGTGAAATAGGACCAAATTTAGTGTCTGAATACATGAATCTCAGGATGGTAGAGTTCAGCAGAGTATGTGTTCTGCTGTATGCAGTTTATTGTATCTCCAGTGGCCTCCAGAACCTGAAAATAACAATTTTTTATATGTTGTTCAGTTGTAGTCATACTAAAGAAAAAAAGTAATCAAAAGTGTAGAATGAATTTCTTACCTGATGGAGCTGTGATCTCATCAGAATTATAAGTCATGTTCATTGGCTTTCTTGAAACAGCATAACATCTAGTAAGACTTCTATGATTTATATATTAAACTTTTTAAAATGCTAGCAATTTTAGCATGATACAGGGCAGGTAGCACATTAGGTTGATTTACAATTTAACACTTGTCATAGTCACACTCGTTTTAAGTGTTGCAGAAATAAGCTGGTCTTCTACTAATCTACGTAAAGTTCAGGTCAAATTGCATGGAAGATAATAACGTATGTTGCATCCAGCAGTATTAAAGGATATTATGATACCTGACAATATTCTCTGTTCTTCTGTTGATTATATGGTTTATGGAAGAGCAAGTCCATTTAGAAAACTTGTTCAAACGTAACTGAAAGCATAATTTTAAAACGCTGGTGCCTAAATCCCTGACTCTTGTTGCATGGAGTACCATGGCTCAGCCCAGTGACGAATGTGTTCCTCTGATACCTATAGGTATAACTGCACTGGTACAAACCGTTCCTGCGACCAGGAGAAGCTGGTTTTGCTACATTAGCAACTAGCACATGAAGGCTGCAACTGCAGCAAATCCTTGGACCAGATAGAGGCCTAAGAACTTAATCTACTGTGGTTTATTCCCTTTTTTTTTTTTGGCTAAAGAGTAGTTTCATTGTTTTGCCCTGTGGAATCCCTGGTATCAATGAGGGCCCATCATTCATTAGAACTCCTGGACATGAGTTGGCAATAAATTTGGTTTGTGCTATTTTTCATGTTGATCCATCTAGCTGATTAGGCAGCAGTAATCTCAAGGAAGTAAAGCATAAGTAAACCAGGCTGCCAGCCCTGGTTTCAGGAAGGGTACCACAAAAAGAGTAAGTAGAATTGTAAGCGAACTCAAGTGGGAAGGGGCTTCAGGAGGTTTCTGGTCCAACCTCCTACCCAAAGCAGGGCCAGCTCAGAGCTCAGACCAGTTTAGTCAGGGCTTTATCCAGCCAAGTCTTGAAAAACCGAAGACTGAAGAGCTTTCACAACCTTTTAAGGCAACTCGCTCCACTGCTTGACTGTATTCATGGTGGAAAAAAGTTTTCCTTCTATCTTGTTTGACCCTATTTTGTTCTAGCTTACACCCTTTCTCACTGGAAGAGCCTGGCTCTCGTCCTGACAACCTCCTCATAGGTGAGAGTGGGCTGCTCATGGGTCCCTTGAAGCCTTCTCCAAGCTGAACAAACCCAGTTCCCTCAGTCTGTTACTGTAAGACATGGAACTATAACATAGCATGGTGATGGGCACCAGACTCTCAAGTGCTACATCCAGAAAGAAAATTATTATAAAGACCACTAAAATATGTAACAGCAAAGGACACTTAAAAAAAATTGTCTGTGGGACAGTGCTGCTGCTAATCTCACCATCAAAGTTGTCCTTTTCCCCCTTGCTAATGTAACCTTAGATTTGTTACGTTGAAGGCAAATGAAGCGTATACTGTGTCCTTAAACATGCATGTAGATTTACTGTCTTCTCCTATAGCCTCTTCTAAATGTGTAACCTAGTGGTATATCCTCACCCTGTGCTTAAAAATATGTACAATGCTGCAGTGAATCAACACTGTATTTTTAGGTTTGAAAGTTTAATGTAAGTCATTGTAAGACTTTCACTGTCAGAGCTTGAGTCTGCTCTCTTGTGTGTTTATTGCTAGCATAATGCTACTGGAATATTTTTTGATTCAAGTTAAATCAGTAATTTTCAACAAATGTTTATAAGCACGGGGTGAAGTGGGAGAAGAATATCATGTATACACTTACTGCTTCATATGCTGTATTGTTTGGATATTGTTATTGTTGTAAATTGTTGGTTGAGCACTGTAGAATATTCACATATTGTTCTTGTAAATCTTCTATGTGGATAATTCTGAAAACTTACTAAATTATATTTTATGACCATGTACATCTGAATGTGCTCCTAAACATCCTACTTCATAAACACTATGGTTTTCTGAGTGAGTACCACATACTCTTTCACATTTGTAAGCTTCCACAACATCACGTGGTATTTGGATGGTTGTAGGTGTATTTTGTTCTATTCTGCAGTCACTAGTTCCCTGTCACTGCTTGTTCAACAGTTCAGTGCTGGAGGTGACAGTTCTTCTAAGACTGCTCTGAAACCATTGGTTTCTTCTTCAAATGGCTGCATTTATAGTTTCCTACTTGTGGATCAATTTATTTTTTTCATTTTAACCTGCAGCGGGTTCTTTGTTGACAGATGTAGCTGAGAATGATTCCAGAGCTTGTAGTCCAGCATCTCCTCAAGAAAAGAGAAAAATAATTAGATCTGACTTTTATTCCCTGTTTTTATTTAGTTACCTTCTGTTAAGAAACACCACAGAAGGAAAGATTTCTTCATCCCTCACCAGCTTCCCCTGATGCTAGATTCCCTAACTTTGCAGGGGTAAAAAAGGTAATGTAGATCACTTTACCCTAGTCACTCAGGGATACAGTTACCCTATAGCTACTACTATTTAGTCACCTTCCACTGGCTGGAGTTCAAGAAGTATAGTTTAGATTTGTGTGTAACTCCTAAAGAATCACTCCAGGAACTTCAAGGAAGAGTAATTTTTTATTATAGAGGGGAAGGGGGAGATTCAAATGAGTTACTTTGACATTCAGAAGAGAAACCCAGAAAAAGAGCAAGGCACTTTAAGTTGAGCATAGTGTAAGCTAATAATCTAGCGGAGAGTTTTATGAAGGAAAGCAATAATCTCTGTAAATAAGATGCAAAAGTCAGTGGAGTAACCTTTCAGCCACTGCCTTCTCCCCACAGCAGTATGCTGGATGTCCCAAACATTTCACAATAGCATCAGAGAGCAAGCTGTTGAATACACATGAAAAACATCAAGCATGCAAACTCTTACATGTAACTTGTCTTTGGATTTGCACTTCAGCACAGGCCCCTTTGAATACAGTTTGCATGTCATTTTTACCTCAAATGGAGCAAAAGCCTCAGCAAGTATGACTGAAATCAGTACAGTGAAGGTACAGTAATCTGCTTGGCATCAACAGGTATGTTCCACGTTTAGTTCCCATTTTTATTTTACATACTTGGGGAAAAAAGCCAACCAAGTGAGACAACATTCATTAGAAAGCCAGCTTCAACAGTTTTCTAAGCTATTTGAGGGCTGGTAACTCCAGACAATACTTGATGTTAATCCATTGTTTTCTTGTCTAGTATACTCAGGAAGTGAATATTCTATAACTTTGTGCAGCTGACTGCGAATGCTGTGGCGTAAGAACTGATGCCTGCCAGGGTCACCAATCAGCACTTCTGTTTGCTGGATCCTGATGTGTTTCCTCAGCCAGTGATGCAGACCATCGGCAAGTTGTTCATCATAAAACATATCTCCCAGTACAATGAGGTCCCAGTTGCCGGCTTCTGAATTAATGATGTTCTTAATGGTGATGGGGAAGGGATTCAAGTGGTTCAGTTCACAGTTCAAGATCATTGCCATTCCTGCAACTGAATAAAAGTCAAAGTAAAATGAAAGTTACAGTTTTGAATTCAGTCTTCAGCCCCCTTACAAATTTCCTTGACACATCTTTCAATTTCATCTCAAATATTTCTGTTTATCCTATCTAGAGACTTTCACAGTTTCCATTATGGGTCAAAATCTGCCATAAAGTGATGGAATTTTATCCTTATCACAGCATAACACAGGAAAGAACTATTCCTGGAATGGATACCAATGGAAACCAATCATGGAATCAAACCAGAATATCCAACTGTCTTAATCTGTGGATATATTTCCTCCCTAACCAGTGAGTAATTCAATTATGAATAAACTGAATTCATAAGTCAATTATGGAAAAACAAATTCTGGGGGAAAAGGCAAATTCTAGGCCCTAACACATGAAAGTGCACGAAAATGCTATGGTCCTACAGAGAAGCCAACTTGCTGCCTGCACTTGGACTTCTTTTCCAAACCAGCCATGATGGTGTATTGGCAACACTTGATAGAAACTTTGCTCTTGGTTCACTCTAAGGATCTATGGAGACCCTACGACGATACACTCAGTGCAAGAGCGGCTGGTACAGCCCTGCTTTTAATACTGGCAAAATCACATTTTTAGCATTCTTAGGACTCTGCTTGGAACCTGAATCTCTTCCAAATGGTGCAAGGAAAAGTCTGTGTTAAGTGTGCTTTAAAAAAATCAATAAATATCTTTACACAGAAATGGAAAAAAAAAAAAAGGCCTTACTAGGGTCAATGTCATTAGCAAGGACTTGCGCTGCACCACTCATCACAGCAGCTATTGCTGTTGCTCCACATCCACTTCCAAGATCCAAAACCGACCGTCCTTTAACAACGCGTGGATTATCTAAAATATACCTGAAAGGAAAAACTGTTAAAACAATGAACAAGATTATGCAAATTTCTGTTTTGCATTACACTGCATAAGTGTTCTTGTCATACACTTAATGAAGCATGGTATCTTAAAAACACTATTCCACATGTGTGGCTGGTACATAGCTCCTTATTTGTCTCTGCTGATATAAAACCCAACAGCCATCATCTTTCTCCCTTACTTCTCCTTAATGGCTTCTAGATCCCAGCACATCTGTCTGCAGAGTCCTAGGAGTCCAGACTGGGAGAACAAAAGACAACTTACCCTGAAACTAAACCGTTCAAGCCATTGAGAGACCATGGCAGGAAGGTCAATACCAGGACTGAAGATACAAAATACCCAGGTCAGGAGCCCAGGAGACACGAGGAGGAGCTGACATCCCATGCCTCTTGTCCTACATTTCATCACAAGAAATCCTACCAGGCAACTTGGACATGTACCACTTGGTGCTTGTGAGGATGTGGTTATGAATCTAATGAGTGAAACTGGCTCAGTTTCAATGAAAATCACCTTATCCTACCAGCTCTAGCACCCAGCTTTGTTACACTCTTACCATAATGTTGCAGCATTATTTGCCACTTTGAAGCTCTACAGATGCTCCCTTTTCTGAGGGCACCAAGGCAGAACACTGTGCAGAGGCTCAGCAGCTCAGCTCTCTGGCCACGCAGCCCCTGGGGCCTTCAGCTCTCTGAGGACAGCCCATAATTCACCAACAGGGTGGAGGACAAGGATGGGGCCTCCACAGAAAGTCCTCCATTTCCCCTTTCTAGGGGCTATGCTTGGATTTGTAATGACTTTCCAGCCGTAACTTTGTATAGAGTGTGATCTGGCCTAAAGCTGCAAGTGCCTTGCTTCCAGCTGAGCAGTTCTCAAGTTACCGCTAATGATTGTGGTGACTTAGGACAGCCGGAACCGACTGTATCCCCTGGCACACACACAGTGCATTGCACCGCTCTTGGAGACTGCTGCCTGCCATGCTGGGTTATGGAGGTATCTTAGGTTACACCAAGAGGAACAGCTTGAAATAGGAGACTCCTGATGTTACGGCAATGCCAACTGAAAGGAGCACGGTTGCGGAAGCAGCTTGTTTTCATGCTCCCTTTTTCTTTTTACTTTGCCAGGTTATGCAGCTAATTTCTGACACTCCCAATACATCAAAACAAGTGCATAAACAGTAAGTCAGTAAAGCGGTGAAATGCCAGATAATTATTATTGCTACCCAAATACCTGGGCACATGAATCATGTGATAACAAAATGCAGGAATTATCTTACCTAATTTAATTACACAGTGGTTAGGAGCACGCTAGTTCATCTGCATGGCAGGCTAATCAACTCACAATTTAACTGCAAGACTCATCTTTTTCCTGGTCAAAACTGCCTTCCTATTTATGCTTCTTGCAGAAAAAAAGCAAAGCTCCAATTCAGATCCTTCCCTTTCATCTACGTGGGGAATGTCTGACAGCCTGTTCTTTGCTGTAAGAATTCTTATTAACTTTTTCTGCTGTTCAAAGTGAGAGATTTGATTTTACAGAATAAAAGAACTCTAACTAGTTCCTGGGAGTCAGGAACATTAAAGGCGTTTTGACACTAAGTGGCCAAAGTCAAGATGTGGCTTCTGATGTGACTAAAAGACAGCCACAATAAGGCTTGGCAATAAGGCTGCTGAAATCCTAAATGAGGAGAGTGATTCAGGCCAGCCAGCACTCCAAATGCATCAGCATAAACCTACTTTCCTCAACAGACTAGACATCCATCCACACTCCTGTCTCCCACCAAAAAACCCCCACGTGTTATGACAAAACAGCAATCTTCCTGTTCGGAGCGACAATGAGTGACAGAATTAAACACCTTGCTAGGTTTTTGATTGCAACTGCACAGCCCTTCCACAGATCCAAATTCAGCCCAGTTGTCAACCCATGCATCATCACTGAGGACAACAGATTTCAGCTTAAGAGTCATAAGTTGTTCTATGTGCAGCAGGCACTGAAACTTCACTGCCAACCTGCAGATATTGCGTCTCCTCTATAAGCAGAGAGGAACATGGATAACGCGTGCTCATACAAGGCAAATACACATTGCTAGGAATCACTACAAGCAGAGGTGATGCACGCTGCATACCTGGAAAGGGCTTGGCCTCCTGGCCAGTAAATTGCCCAAAACGGGTCCCCGTAAGGCCACAGGTCAGGTTTTTCCTTCCAGAACCTGCAGCGAGGGGTGAGGAGGCGCAGCCGTATCTCTGGTGTGAGGTGCCCACTGCTGGTGACCTCCGTGTTCTCCTCCAGAAATGCTCTCACCTCAGGGTCCAGAGACTTGCCGGCACTCCAATGGCAGCAACGCTTCCAGCGCAGAAAGGGGCCTCCCCTCCTGCTCCTCCAAGCCTTGGCAAAGGTGTTCTGCCTGCCCAAGAGGAGGAGCCACTTCCAGCCACGGAAGGCCATGTCTCCCCAAAGACAAACCCTCCCCAGGAGAGCTCGGAGCACAGCTTACTGATGAGCACAGCAGGTGATGAGGCAGAAAGCTTGAAACAAACTCAAAGGATGTTGTTTTTCATAGTGATGGATTCCTGAAAGGAGAACAATGGAAGAACTACATAAGTGATGTTTCTTCAGTGACTTCAAGGCTATGAACCACCAGAGCTTTAAGAAGAGAAGGACCACGTGCTGTTGTGTGACCATGAATGTGTGCATTGCCCTTGCCCAAAGAGCCTTTCAGGTCTGAAAGAAGTGGTATTTAAGGAAGAAGCCATTGGGAGACCCATTCAGGAGAGTGCTATAAACATGTCCCGTGAGACACAACCAGTTAGTGGGACAGCCGAGAGTGCTAAAAACTAAACATGCAGCCTTTTAACATCTCCCTCCCTCTGCCTTAAAGACAGACACACAGCAAGCTACTCCCATTTAAGTCTCTTCCAGCAAATCTTAGGATTTGCATCAGGGCTCTGGCATTGCAGGACCTACAGATGTGACAAAGGTTATCAGTAGGTTGCTTGAGAGATACCATTAATTACTGGTTTTATAATGGTGAATGAGTCTTTTATATGAAAGCATCTTTTTAACTCAAATAATTAAGGGATTTCTGCAAAAGGCTTTCCTCTTTCTCCCTCAGATCCAAAAAAAAAAAAACAAACCCCAAGAACTGATCTGAATCCGAATACTCCCAATTTGTTGCATTTCAGTCTTCATTTTAAAGGATCAGTTAGTCTTATGGTACCATAGTCTCAGGTGGATGCTTTCAGCTGTAAAAGAAAGTAGACCTCCATCACAGCAGCCCACTCCCTGTGAGAAACTATATCAATGTGCTCCAAGCTGTCTAAAGAGAGAGAAACTGAATCTGACACATTCTTAAAAATGAAGTTTTTAAAAGGTGAGACATTCAGACTAGATGAGCTCACACTCAAGAAGCCTTCTGGCACCACTCAAGGCCAGTTTTCAGGTCACAAGCAGCGAAGAAAGGAGGATGGGAGACTGGTACATCAGAGGTTAGACTCATTTAAGCATCAGGAGAATGGAGAGCGGAGAGCCACAGCACTTCATGACCACAGTCTCCGCATCCACCATCTCTGGCAGACCCTGGGTCTTCCTTACGCTGAGCCTGCGCATATCCTTACCAAGCAGTGGCCTGAAGAGAGAGCATCTGTTTTCCTGCCCTCCTGCTCAGATCTCCGACTTCATCCATCCTTTACTATTTCCATATCTTTTTTCATTCCTCATCTCGCTCTCTAATTTCTTTTCAGTAACTCGGACTTACTCGCCTCAGGTGTTGAACCTCCCCCCAAGCCAATGACCAGAGAAGCATTTAAGGCCTGTGCTTCTACATCAGCAAGACTGCAAGTACGAACATACACAAGAGAAACTCACTCTCTATTTTATGACTGTTTTCTCTCTTCCGCAGTGGTTTTCATGAAAAAGCAGAACGATGCATGAAGAAAGTCAGCTTCTGCCCACCCCTGCCGATTTTTCACAACAGAAGAATTGTGGCCAGCTTTGCCATTGAGAGCTGTGCAGGTTGTCCTTAAAAAAAACAAGACAAGGGGACAATAGGAAAAATGGGCTAATACAACAAAGCCGTTAACACTTTGTGGTTCATGAATCCAGGTTTGCCTTATTTGTCTGTATCTTTACTAAAGCTCATATGTGTTTAGCGGCATTTTTTGTTGTGTGCTGGCCTCTGCTTTAGGTGCTGGGTTTAGTTTGATTGCTTACTAAAATGTTAAGCTGTGAACTCCCCTCCCCGTAGGATTCTGCTGTTTAGGCTGATAGTCCAGTTAAGTCTTTGTTTAAATCATTGGCTAAAGGCTTTGTATTTTTATTACAAATAAATACACGTGACTGAACATTTTGCTTTTTTCCCACATTTGAGAATGCCATTCAGCAAAGTCCATGTAATTAATGAATGTAATTAACGAATGCCTGCCTTCTTGAAGGCAGAGCTAGATAATCCCCATCTGCCTATGGGAAGCATGAAGTTAACTGAAATCAATCAGAGCTAAATCTTGCCAGCTAATGCTGCATGCTGTTTTTCCCCATGAGTTGCTGCAAATCAGCAGGCCTGAAATCCGGTAGCATGTATTTTGCACTGCCTGTCACGATGGTTACTCTTTTTCAATTAATCGCCTAGAGAGAAATATCTGCCAAGAGCTCTGTGCTCAAAATGCCAACCTGAACTTAAGTGGTTAGTGCAGGAAGGCACAGTCGGGATGAACATCCTTGCATTTGAGACTCCTGGCCTTCCCTGCTTATTGGGAACAAAATTAGTAGGCGAGTAGAACTTGAACAAGGGGACAAAAAACAAAAACAAGCA